ATACGTCCCTTATTTGCGTTTAACTGTAGTTTTGATTTTGTGTTTAGCCACGTGAAAGTAGACATAGTTTTAACTGATGGGAGAGTAGATGTGTTAGCACCGTCGTGTTATGAAAATCATCGTAACTGTGTATTTTGAGGTAGGATGTAGGTTGTATTAGGGTCGTTATGTGTGGTGTATTTACTCAGTGGACTGGAGTAGTGACAGTGTTGGTACATTGTTCATAAACAGTACCATTGTTATAGAACAATGTAACTACCTATGTATTTTATGTATAAAGTTTTAAATAAAATTATGAAAAATTCGTAAATTGGATTACCTAAATACAAATTATTTCCAAACTTTATCTTCATCACCCCACCGTGCCACTACCATCACCCCTCCGTGCCACTACCATCACCCCACCGTGCCACTACCATCACCCCACCGTGCCACTACCATCACCCCACCGTGCACTACCATCACCCCACCGTGCCACTACCATCACCCCACCGTGCCACTACCATCACCCCACCGTGCCACTACCATCACCCCCCCGTGCCACTACCATCACCCCACCGTGCCACTACCATCACCCCACCGTGCCACTACCATCAAACCCCCCCGTGCCACTACCATCACCCCACCGTGCCACTACCATCACCCCACCGTGCCACTACCATCACCCCACCGTGCCACTACCATCACCCCACCGTGCCACTACCATCACCCCACCGTGCCACTACCATCACCCCACCGTGCCACTACCATCACCCCACCGTGCCACTACCATCACCCCACCGTGCCACTACCATCACCCACCGTGCCACTACCATCACCCCACCGTGCCACTACCATCACCCCACCGTGCCACTACCATCACCCACCGTGCCACTACCATCACCCACCGTACCACTACCATCACCCCACCGTGCCACTACCATCACCCACCGTACCACTACCATCACCCCACCGTGCCACTACCATCACCCCACCGTACCACTACCATCACCCCACCGTGCCACTACCATCACCCCACCGTACCACTACCATCACCCCACCGTACCACTACCATCACCCCACCCTACCACTACCATCACCCCACCGTGCCACTACCATCACCCCACCGTACCACTACCATCACCCCCCCGTGCCACTACCATCACCCCACCGTACCACTACCATCACCCACCGTACCACTACCATCACCCCACCGTACCACTACCATCACCCACCGTGCCACTACCATCACCCCACCGTGCCACTACCATCACCCCACCGTGCCACTACCATCACCCCACCGTGCCACTACCATCACCCACCGTGCCACTACCATCACCCACCGTACCACTAACCATCACCCCACCGTGCCACTACCATCACCCCACCGTGCCACTACCATCACCCCACCGTGCCACTAAACCCTCACCCCACCGTACCACTACCATCACCCCACCGTGCCACTACCATCACCCCACCGTGCCACTACCATCACCCCACCGTACCACTACCATCACCCCACCGTGCCACTACCATCACCCCACCGTGCCACTAAACCCTCACCCCACCGTGCCACTACCCATCACCCCACCGTGCCACTACCATCACCCCACCGTACCACTACCATCACCCCACCGTGCCACTACCATCACCCCACCGTGCCACTACCATCACCCCACCGTGCCACTACCATCACCCCACCGTGCCACTACCATCACCCCACCGTGCCACTACCATCACCCCACCGTACCACTACCATCACCCCACCGTGCCACTACCATCACCCCACCGTGCCACTACCATCACCCCACCGTACCACTACCATCACCCCACCGTGCCACTACCATCACCCCACCGTGCCACTACCATCACCCCACCGTGCCACTACCATCACCCCACCGTGCCACTACCATCACCCCACCGTGCCACTACCATCACCCACCGTGCCACTACCATCACCCCACCGTACCACTACCATCACCCCACCGTGCCACTACCATCACCCCACCGTGCCACTACCATCACCCCACCGTACCACTACCATCACCCCACCGTGCCACTACCATCACCCCACCGTACCACTACCATCACCCCACCGTACCACTACCATCACCCCACCGTGCCACTACCATCACCCCACCGTGCCACTACCATCACCCACCGTGCCACTACCATCACCCACCGTACCACTACCATCACCCCACCGTGCCACTACCATCACCCCACCGTGCCACTACCATCACCCCACCGTGCCACTACCATCACCCCCACCGTACCACTACCATCACCCACCGTGCCACTACCATCACCCCACCGTGCCACTACCATCACCCACCGTGCCACTACCATTACCCCACCGTGCCACTACCATCACCCCACCGTGCCACTACCATTACCCCACCGTGCCACTACCATCACCCCACCGTGCCACTACCATCACCCCACCGTGCCACTACCATCACCCCACCGTGCCACTACCATCACCCCACCGTACCACTACCATCACCCCACCGTGCCACTA